TTCCAATGGAAGAGGTATTCCAATGCTGCGCTGGCAATTAACCTTGCCCAAAATTACTGGAAGGATAATATTGTGTGAAGAGTCCAGAAAGTGTGTCAGATAATTATCCGGACAGTTTTCAAAGGCGTGGCTGAGTAAAAGATGGAATTCCTGAAAGAAGATTTGGTGCACCTAAGCCAAACCCTTTGACAGCAAACTTCAAGCAGATGAGAAACGACCACCAGTTCCTCTGAGCCACTTTGAGCAGAACATCTCCCCCCCCCACACACACCCACTCCTTGACTTCTCAGCAGCTCTTGGATATGACGCCTGGTCTTTCCAAGGGGCTTGAAATGCTCCTTCTGTCAAAAGGCTGAGAAGGGCTTTTCTCCCCCCCCCCCCAAATGTGGACTCCACCCTCATAGAAGATATTGGTCAAAATCACTCAGAGACGACCCATTCAACCTTATGTCATCGACAACATTTGTGAAAGAGCAAGCTGTCCTATCATGGAGGCCGGGAGCAGCTCCCAAGGAACGCCCTGCCCATGACTTTTATCAATGATAAGATTTCTCCTGCTATCACACTCTTGGGCTCCCAGTGAACCCCTCCCTCCCTCCCTCCCCCCAGATATCCTCTGGATTTATACCCAAGCTCAGTTCCGTTGGGAACCCCCGTCTGACCCAGGCGGCTCCCGATTTCCGAACGGCTTACGTGATTCAGGTAGTTCTCGATCTTGCGCAGGGTCGTCTCGGGGACTTTAATGTGCCACGGCTTCCGCTGGTTCTCGCCCAGTTCGCGAAGGGAGGTCATGTTGTACATGGCGTGGCTCAGGGGGTTATTGTTCTTGTCCACCAAGCCCAGGCTCTGGAAGGGAGGACACGGACAGACACGGTGAGGCTGGGAGACAGGGAGGGGGCTCCCAAGGGCCCCCGGTAAACAGCTCCGACCAAAGCAAAAGAGGTGGCAACGGACAAGACCAGGATCATATCTACCTCCTTCCCAGCCTCGCTCTGGAGCCCAACAGGGCCGCCTATCCCAGAGAGAGCGCTAAAAGGGGTCTGTGGGGGAGGCTGAGCAATGTTTGCTTGCTGGCAGACCAGCTCAGTGGGCGAGGCCAGCCGGGTGGGCAATCTGGAGCCCAATGCCCCACTTCACGCCCAGGAACAAGGGCCGGCCTTGCACTGCTGTGGGCAAGCGGCACGGGAGCCCCAGAGCCCACCAGAAGGCAGGATTAGTCAGCCCCTTCTGACGCCTTGAGACCCAGGGAAGGATCAGCATCCGCTGGTATTCACCCGAAGGCACATCATAATTACTAGGATGAAATGCAGAGAGGGCAGTCTGACCAGCCGACTTTAACCCTCCCCCCACCTCACAGGAGACTGAGGGAGGGAGGGAAGAGGCTGCTCTGCTGGTCCTTCCCAAGCCTCCCTCCTCCGGGCAGCATTCTGGGCCCACCCTGCCACCCCTCCCTCACCTTCAGCTTCTGGCAGGCCAGGGCGGCGGCTTTGTTCTCCGCCTCCACCTTGCGGCGGCCCTTGGCTGCGAAGGTCATGGGGCAGGGCCAGCGTAGCGACAGCTTGCAGATCTTGGTCTTGGTGCCCACTGTTCGGAACTGCATGTACTCCTGGAAAGGAGAGAGAAGAGCTTGCGTGAGGCCCATGAAGGGGGAGGGCGCTGACCCCCTGCCGGCTGTGAGGTGCCCAGGACACACAGGCTTAGTCCAAGATGTGCAGGGAGACCAAGGAGGAGGAGGAGGAGGAGGGGGAGATCCTGGAGCCTGAAGAAGTGTGAGACTTTTTACGGTTAAAGCCAGCCCCTTTGAACAGACCACCAGCTGCAACGGAACAAGAGCGACTCCCCACCTGGGGTCCCCAGACTGCAACTCCCAGAAGCTTTCAACATGAGCTGTCCTGGCAAGGGCTTCTGGGAGTTGCAGTCCAAGAATGTTTGGGGACCCCAGGTGGGGAACCACTGCGTTGAGACCTTCTTTCTCTCCAGCTGTAGTATTCTGCACTAGCTGCATTTTTTAAACAAAGTTCATTTTCTCTCTCTGTCTGCAGCCGGGAGCAGTGGATTCGATTCCGGACGGCTGCCACCTGAAAGAGGTACTCTCCCCACCTCTTCCTCAGAGCCTGGCAGGTCCAATCTCTTGGTCCACTACCTGCTTTAAGGGCAGCCTTCTTCAAGGGGCCTCCTTCCCTCCCGTCAGCCACTCCTGTGGGAACGCACCTTGACCGTTGAGGAAGACGTGGCAATCTGGATCACCTGGGCTAGGAGGTTTTTGGGCAGAGGAAACTGAGTCAGCGCCCGGAGGGCCGTGCTGTCATCTGTCATTTCAAGAGAGAAGCCATCCCTGCCACAGGAAAGAAAGAAACAGCCCTTGGATCATCTGTTTGCAAAGTTTTGCCACGACCGGCAGGCCAGTGCAACGGTGGAACTAACCCTAATCCCACACCCTCTGGAGAAACCAGCGCCTGGGACACTCAGGCAGGATGGCACCAAAGCCCTTCCTATCCTCTTCTGTGACTGGTCTATACAGGTCTATATAGATACACAGACACATATGTAGACGTACAAAACCACATATAAATGACAGCGCTCTGAAGGGAGATATAGAACACACCGGGTAACAGATGTGTGGATGCAGAGGAAAGACAGTGGGGGGCGGTGGATGGGGGGTGGAGAAGGGCTGGAAAACATATGAAAGAAGGTGCAGGTTCTCTCTCCCTCTCCATGAGGACCCATTCCTGTTCCTACCCCAGCGGGAAGGGAGAAGCGGTCTTCCTGGCTTCCAGTTTTCTCTTGGAAAGCATCGGGACTAGCTCCCTGCTTTTCTGCTTTTCTGACGCGTAAAAGCAGAGCTGACACCTCTAACCCGAGGCTGGCCAACGGTACACCTTTGAGCAAGACTTGGAGCGTCCCAAAGAGCAGAGCGGCTCAAGGACGAGTCGTGCTCTCCAAGGCAGCTTTGTTCGGAGCCAGGAAGGGATTGCATCACAGTGACTCACGGAGCCTCCGAGCACTCTAGAACGCAGCCAGGGCCACCCAACCCCTCCTGGGGCACATCGCCCCCTGTCAGGAGCAGAAGGGCCCAAGGGGAAGCTGGTGCTTCCCGGCTGCTTTGCGTGCGGCGGCATGCGTTGCTCCCCATCGTATCACCAGGAAAGGCCTCGGCTCCTGTGTTTCCATTTTGGGAGGGGTCCCGCCTGCGACACCAGGTGCCAGAGGGAACAGGGCCCAGGAACGCCGGAAACCAAGCACGTGGAGGACCAACTAACGGCACCCTCATGAACGGCAGAATCCGTGCCTCTGAGGACTTCCAGAGAGACCCTGCTGCTGTGACCTTTAGGTTGAGATTGCAGCTCTGGTAATTCCAGGAGCTGTCCTGCAGAGGCTGGGAACTGCCGTCCAAGAAGGGGGCCCTTCTCCCAGCTTTGCCCTTCAGTGGACCTCCAAGGGCGTGCCCTGGGCCTGCTGTCATCAGGATACTCCCCACGGGAGGGGGAAGGGGGGGAATCTCTGTCCAAGGGTCCTTCCCAAAGGCCAGAAACGGCCACACCCGCCTGCGGGGGTCCAAGTTCCTCCTACCTCATGTCCCGGGGAGGGGTCCGAGCCTCCGGGTGCGTCAGAGACAGGTAGTTCGAAACGTCAATGGTCTCTTCCTCCAGCTCGCCCTCCTCCAGCTCCCCTTCTTCCAGCTCGCCCTCCTCCAGCTCCTCCTTCCGGATGGGTTTCGGCAGCCGGTTGTGCTGCTCCAGGGGCTGGACGGGCTCGTCGGGCTCCATCCGTCGCCAGCAAGTCGAGAGGTCGGCCAGCGACGGGCCAGACTTGGAGCGCCAGCGGCTCTCAGAGCACCACCGCTCGTCGGGGCAGCCCAGCTGCTCGGCCAGGATGCGGTACTTGGCGGCATCAAAGAGCTCGTTCCGGGGGCCCAGCAGGCCCCAACCCTGGCGGACGGAAACACAGGACGGTCACAAGAAGAAAAGGGGCGGTGACCCCTTTCCTCCAGGGATGCCTTGGAAAGCCTGCAGGGGGCGCTCCCTGGTTCTGGAAAGAGCCCGAGGTCCACCTATGCCTGGCTCGCTTCGGAGGGCGAGGGAGTCCTTCCAGACTTCGACCGTGTCGTTTAGCTCACGGATCCAACAAAAAGGGGTTCAACCATTTTGAAGAGAACAGAGGTTCCCTGTGACGGGTCAGGATCAAGGCTCCCTTGAAGGGGTGCGGGCGTGCAGAGCTCCATCGGTGCCATGCAGCGGTGGCTGGGGATCGATGCCTGTTTACGCCCAGGTTTTGGATGAAGGGCGAGGCTTCCGCCCAACGGGGATACAAATGAGAGGGAATGTTGGTCAGGTTAAGCACCAACCTCTCTGGCCATCATCACCTCCACGGCCAGCTCCTTCCCCAGACTCCTGCCCTCCCAACGGGAGATGCTGCCAGGGTCGGAACTTGGGGCCTTCCACGTGAGATGCAGTTGGCACTCTGTTACCACCCCCCCACTCAAAGCGGCAGTTCAGGAAGGATCAAGATGGATGGCACAACATCCACCAAACTGGGGGGTGGGTGCAGGAGCTCACCTCAAAGTTTCAGGCAGGTGGGAAGGGGAATAATTTCCAGAGCATATTCTTGGATGAAGCTGCTTTTTAGAAAGTATTCTGGAGCCACCGATGGTGGAATATATTTTATACCTCATAGCTGAGTCATGTAACTGATTATTTCAAAAGTAAGGAGATCTCCGGCTTTGACACAAGATCCTAAGACGCCAGAAGGTCCACGGAATGTCTGGCAAGTATGACTTCGGTCACTGCCCATCAGTGTAAAATCCATGACCTGGCCTGCTTGTTTCATGGGGGTGAGGCAGAGGGGACTAAGGGAAGTTTTCCTTGATCTCCCCAAAAGATGATCAAAGGCAGGAGAAGGAGAATCTTATGGACTTTTTTTTATACAGTAGGACCCTATTACCTGTGGGATCAGTATCCACTGATTCACTTATCTACGGTCCGAAATATTACAAATATATTTTTCAAAAATCCTAAGAATATTTATTTCTAAAGATGAAATCACCGGAACTGGACACTAGAGGGAGCCAAAGTCCATGCACAGAACCCATGGATCATGGTCCTCCTGCCATGGGCTAAGAAGGTCATTTACTTCCTTTTCCTCCTTCATGCATCCCCTCCCCACCAACCCAGAAGCAAGGGATCCGCTCCTGCAGGAGATGTGCAGCCTTCAAGTACAGGGAGTCTTTGCCCCATCCTTAAGGTCTAGCCTGATCACGGGAATTATAGGCATCCCTGTTGCCAAAGCACCTCAGTTTTGATTCCCATGCTCAGCGACCCATCAACCAGGGACACCACGGAGAAAGCGAACGTGCGGAGTGGTGACAAAGCCCCCCCCTTCTTCCGCTTCCTCCCCCAAATCACCTTGAAGAGCTGGCAAGCGGCGGCGGCAGCCTGGCGCTCAGCATCGATCTTCTTGGTCCCGTACCCTTCCACTTCCACATTCTTTGGCCACTTGATGAGCAGCGTGACCTTCTGGGGCGAGAAGAACCGAGGCAGTCAACCTACCATGTCGTTTTGAGCTTTCCGTTCCTTATAACAGAGCATGAACTCAGCGGGCAAGAGGAAAGCTCTCTACCCCATTGCAAGGGCTTTCCCTGCAGCTTAAGGACAACCACCTGCTGGAAGCCGAACCCTGGGAACAGCCCAGGGTCCTCTGGCTGCACCTGC